AGGTGACCAGATGTCCCCAGCCAGATGCTGTGGCATATCTGACAATCCCAGGGCTCTCTCCCTGTCCACATGTCCTCCCTGCTCACTTCCTAGACTTCTGGGTGTCAAGCGTATCTGAAACCTCCTTTTCCATACTTCTAGTTCCCAAGGAATGGGGTCACTGTCATTCCTATGATGTGTTCAGTACAGGCAGCATTGACCGAATCATCGGAGCATCCCTGAGCAGGAGAGAAAGCAGAGGTTCTCTGCTCATCATCCACTCTACTGATGGAGAAACCAAGGCACCAAGAGGCGAAGTGAGTTATCCATGACCACAGTGGAGCCCTGAATCAGCCTGTGGCCCTGCCTGGTCTCTCTGGCTCTAGGCAGAGCACCTATGATGTATGAAGCTAAAACAAGTCTGCAAGCCTGAGGACCTCAGGGCTACGTTGAGGATGGAGTAGAGTCAGATAGCTGACTGCTGGTCTGTATCTACAGTGACAGATGGCCAAAGGTTACTTAGAGACAGGTGCTCTCTCACTTATCAGCCAAGAGGCAAGTCATAAATATCTCCCCTCTCCCCAACCCTGGCTTGAGGGTGGTGTTCCATCTTCCCTGAAGGCAGGAACAGAGATTGCTCACTGACTCTAGTCTGAAGAAGGGGCTAGGGACTCTTCCTGTGGACCAGCCAAGGCAGCAGCTCCTACTTGGACATATACATTTTTCTTCATGCAATGGGCACTCCAGGGCAAGTGTCCCTAGGTCCTTTCCTGCTCCTGTTCCTGCAGTCTATTCTTAGCCCTTGACACAGGTGCTGGCACAGAGAAGGGGAATCTCCTGCAGAGCCAGTCTGTCTGCTGCTCTCAGGAGCCATCATTAATAGCACTCATGACCTTTGGCTCCAGAACACTCCTGCTGTGTCCTGCCAGTCACTGCAAAGAAAGGTACAGAGAGAGAGAGAGAGAGAGAGAGAGAGAGAGAGAGAGAGAGAGAAGCAGGTGATGCCTGGGAGCTGAGTAAGCCAGAAATATCCAAGGGGGCAGAGGAGAAAGCTGGGACTAAGACAAGTCAGTATCTTCTGATATTCAGCCAGTAGCAACAGATGCAGCACTTGGAGTGGAAACCTTTGGAACAGCCAAGGATGGGGAGGGTGAGGCCAACTTTGTCACTACATTGTCCTTTTCCTCTGGGAAAGGCTTAGGGAAAACCTATAAGAAAACAGACTTGCCTTTTACATTGTTAGACATTTCAACGTTGAGACAGGCACATGTTGACTTGGGATGCTCTTATGAGTAGATAAGGCTGTTGCCCACAATTGGATAACCGTTATCAATGCCACATTCCAGAGGCTGGGCTGTAGATGAGAAAGGAAGGCTGCACAAACTGGGACAGGGCTCAGTTTGAGAAGAGGAGCTAGGGTAAGGATGTATTTGAGCCTAGAGGAGGCCCCCATAATGCCTATCTCCTGGCCAACACTACCTTGATAAAAGGAGCAAAGACTGAGCCTCGCTTAGTTCCTGCAGGAGACTATGTTGTGTCTTGAGAAGAGGGGAGCTCAGGAATCAGCAGGTATCTGAGACTATGATGCCTAGAACCGCTGCATGGCAGGCTGGTCAGTGCCTGAGGGCGTTTGACTCCTCAGAGACCTCTTTTTCTCCTATGTATGGTTTTCCCCAGGATTCCCTGGGGTAGGATGGGGGTACTCTCAGATTTCCCTGGCAGTTTTCCAAGCAATTCTGGAAGTGTCACTTGAATCTATGGAACTGCACCAACTTCTATTCCCTTTACATGTCAAATTTGTTATCCCATACTTCTAGCCAAATCTGGTGGGGTTATTTTAGTATTTGCCTACCTGACCTGAGACCTAGCACTGCAGAGTGTTGGAATCCTAAGTACACCCCAGAGCCTCATTCTCCTTTAGAGTCCTTGTACACACCAGGGACCTAAGCCTGCACACAGAAGCTCTGTTTCAATGTAATGAATGGATAGAGAAATTTTTTTCTCAGGTCTATAAGCATCAAGGCTTGGGGAATCATGAGAGACCCAGGTAGTGAGGAACAGAATAATTGAGGGAAAAGGGAGTCATGAGTTCTTTCTCAGGCATGAGGAACTGCAAAGGGAGCTCAGATGTATGTGAAGAAGTGGTGCTTGACTTTCCAAGAGCTGCTCAGAAGGAGACAGGCATCTAGGTGGTAACAGCAGATCAGACTGGAGAAAGCTATATGATTTGGTGGTGCTCTTAGAAATGCCATGTTTTTCTGAGAATTGGATTTGTATTGGGTCTAAAGCTTGTTAGCATGAAAGGCCATATGACCAGGACAGTTGTCCTCAGGACCAGACAGGATATATATGCCCTCTTTTGACCACCATGGGACTCTAGGGGCTACTGCTGTTGAGAGGCCACAGGGACCACAAAGAATTGGGTGATTCTGTACCTGTGGAGTAGTATACAGGGCCCTCTGGGCCATAGGGAGATACCTCTTCCCTTGATTAGGACAGTAGGAAAGATGGAGCCTGCTGTCTCCCAGCGCCCCGTCTATTTAGACTTTGTGTGCTCCTCCTAACATCCCTGCTTCCAAACACAGAACATATCTGTCTTTAGAGCAGGTAGACATTTTGTAGAGATAGGTTGTGCTTGTGATAGCAGGAACTTTAGGGGCAAATGGACTTGATAGGAGCAGAGTTTATGGGTTTAGCTCCTCTAACTTCTCCTATCATGTCCTTGGAAGGCCTGAAGATTTCCAAGGCAGATACTCCCAAGCTTGTTGGGGAGGGGGCAAGGCTTTTATAAACAGTGTCAACAAAACCAACCTCATTACACTGATAGGACAATGTTTTGTTTTGTTTTGTTTTGTTTTGTTTTGTTTTAGAGAGAAAGAGCCTACTGCTCTGTGGGGGTAGGGAAGTGAAATGTGGGGGGTCTATAGGCATGTTCTATGGTGGGGGGGATCTTCTGAAAAGAAAGAACAAGGTACCAACAGTCTTATCTACCAAAGCTAAAAATGAGGAGTTGGTTATCTGCCATCAAGAAGTCCAGGGAACAAAATAGGTGCAGGAATTTCTGTGGTAAGCACTATTGGTTGCAGCTGGGGGAAACTTAGATGGCTCTTGTTACTTAATGAAAGAAAAGGTTATCAGGAGCCTAGACACCTATCAGATGGTGAGAGAAGATTGCCAGCGGTTGACAACACTATGCCTCCTTGCAGTGGTCCTGCTGTGGGGTGCCCAGGTTGTCTTGGAGGAGGACACCGAGACTGTGTGAGGTCCTTTAGTGACACTTGAGAGCCAGCCAGTTGCCAATGGCCTCTGAAGGGGAAGGACACTAGAAGACTTCATGGGAAGCAATGCCTAAGAACAATGGAGTCCAGAGATGGGGCTCCCTACAAGATGAGGGAAGTGCTTCAGAGGAAACAGATCCAGTCTCTCTTGGCCCTTGCTTCCCCGCCCCACCCCCCACCCCGCTCTCTACTTTTTGGCTCACTTTGCTTTCTTTTTCTGGTCTCTCTGGTCTTCCCTGCTACTGCCCATAGATGTACATTTTCAATTGCATTATTGGGAAAGGTAAGGCATGGTGGAAGGGTTTGAGAATGCTAGCAAAGAAGGAAGGAAAACCAAACCCACTAAGGCTAAAGCAAAAAGCTGGTAAGAAGCCCATGGCCTCTTCCTCCTTCACTTCCCATAGCTCAGGCCTCCCTAAGCTAGAAACTGTCTTCCCAACCTTGCACGCTCTCAGTCAACACCCACAACTTCTACATTTTGTGTAAATATGAGCAGGCTTGCTTGTGCATGCCTGCTAAAGAAAGAGTGGTCACACCTCTGTGGCAGACAAAAGCCGATGGTGGGGTCAGAGAGCGAGAGATAAGATGGAAGTGTGTTTAGCACTAGACAAACAAGCAGAGTGCCAGAGGCACAGAGGGGACACGGAGCAGTCAAAAACTTCAAGGAAGCTATCTGGACCGGGGACAGACTAGCAGAAGGGATGCCCTGCCACCCCACGAATGGACTCATCTCCCCAGCCTGAGCAGAGTGTAGAGTAGAGCCTGGGGGTGGAGCTCCAGCAGGTGCAAAGGAGTGGAGTGAACAAATCTTGTAGGGAGTTCCCTTTGTCCACTGCTCTCACAAAGTACAAAGCAGTCCCCCTCTCCCTGTCTTCTCCCCTGCCTGGCAGGCCGCACAGCGGGTCTTCACCTCAGCCCAAGTCCTCAGCCCAAGTGTGCTTTGTTGTGTCCTTCCCAGAGCAGGGACCAGGTAGCACCCCCCTAGAGAGCCCATATTAGGGAGGTCCTGCAAAGTTGTGGTAACACATGAGATAAGGAGGTGGAACAAAGGAGGGAGCATTTACTTTCACAACTAATATAATGTTGTTTTAAAGATTTGAGAAAAGAAAAAGAAGATCAGGTAAACCATGAAAGGGTGACAAGGTGGGGCTTTTTCGAATGGTTATTTAAAATAAAATTTTAAAATTTCCCAAACATAAAAAAAAAAAATTCCTCAGTTTTTGAACTTCTCTTAAGAATAGCTCAGTGTGAGGTCTTGCACCCTGAACAGTTAATCCAGAATTAAAAAACAGTTGCAACCACAGACAACAAAGACTAACAGTATGGTCTTAAAAATACTGTGTATGTATATATAGATATATATATATATATTTACACATATATATCTTTTGTGGAGATATTTTTCTTTTATGATTAAATTTCGTTTTCTTTTTTTTCCTTTTTTTCTTTTTTTTCCTTTTTTTTTTTTTTGTGCCCAAGTAGAGATAGAATGATATTGAAATAATACCCTAAAACAAATACTCTTTAAAGGAATAGTACCTTCCAAAAACAAATTAAAGATTTTACAAATGGTCAAGCATACTTGTGACACCTCCAGAAATCCGACAAGGTATAGTGAGAAAAATAAATTTGACTCAAATCCTCACCAAAGCTACCAGGCCTGGATGATCAGCCTCTGCCGCTGGGGTGGGGATTTGCTGTCCAGGTAGATGGCGACACACATATGCCGACACCCCCCCCCCCCCCACACACACACACCTTCCCAGCCGGCCCTCTCATTCCCCTCCCCCGGCTACCACAGTATTTACCTCACTTCAGTTTTGTGTATTTCTGGCAAGACCTTACAGCAGGTGTACACACACACTCACTCACACACTCGAGCACACACACACACACATACACACTGCTACATACACTGTCCACTCACCCCAAATGCACCAGGCTGAATGAGTCTCAGCCAACCACATTGACAGAAGCACCAGTCTGTGAAATGGGTCGGTTAATACGATTTGACTTTTTTTTTATATATAGATAAATATTCTAGTGTTCCTCTTTTATGTCTTTTTTTTTTTTTTTTTTTTTTTTTTGAAGCACAAATGAAAAATGAAAAATTTCTTTCCGGATCAATTTAAGGCTTCCCACCAAATGAAAAGAGAAGAGGACTTACGCACAGTCACACGTGACACACACACACACACACCCTTCTCAGCCTTAAAATGACGGAAGAGATCACTGTGGCCAGTAATGGATTAAGTATTGTGCCTTTGAATTGATGTCGTCCTTTTTGCTACCATGCTGAGTTTTATCATTGCTGATTCTCTTCGATGGTGTTTATGGACATCTCCTTTGATCTGCTTTTAGAATTTATCAAATTGGGTGTTTGGGGGTTCCATTCTCTTTTTTTTTTTTTTTTTGTTTTTTGTTTGTTTTTGCACGGGAAAACAATGCAAATTTTGCTAGGCAAATGTTAAAATGGCACATAGTCAGCCTTCGAGTAGCTTTTCCGGCCAGTGGAATACCAAGTAGCCCTTTAGCTTCTAGAAGGCTTGCAAAACGGGGAAGGGGCAAGAGAAACTGAATAAAGAGAGGGGTTTTTATGCCTTTGCTTTTGGTCAATTTGCTTGTTTGTGTTTCAGTACAAATCACCAGACAGGAAGGATTGTTTTGGTATGGTATTTGTTTGCTGTTTTAATTTGTTTGTTTTGTTGGTAGATTTTTGTTTCATTTGATAATTTAATTTTTTTTTCTCTCTCCTGGTGTAAAAGTTACCAGAGAGTTTTGTGTGAGAAGACATGACAGTACCTAAAGAAACTCAGCACCTAAGGGCATAAGGCAGTTAAAGGTTTTTGTTTGTTTGTTTTGTTTTGTTTTCTTCTCTCAATCAGCACCAATCCCATAAATGATCTACACTTGGTGTAAAGTATAAAACTTTTTTGTTTGTTTCTTTTGGAGAGGAGATTAGCTAGCTCTTCCTTCTCCATCCTAGGAACTGTAGTTAGTGTGGGATTATTAGTTATTTTTTCAATACTGTTTCTTATGTGTAAAAAACAAAAGAAAGGTTTTCTTTTTGTTTTTACTTACAAAACATAGAGAATATCTTTGTATACATATAGTGACTGGAAAGAAAGCTTATCTGAAGGGGATGTGACTTATTGATCTTTTTGTAGTGTTGGTGTTGGTAGTGTTGGTGTTGGTGGTGGTGGTGGTGGTTCTGTGTATTGGGGGAAGGGAGGGCTATATTTCTTGCAGGCGGCATTGACCGCAACCAGACTTAAGGTCCCCTTCTCAATCTGGGTCAAGGTCGAGGTGTTCTAGAGTGAGGACTCATACTGCAGCAGCTCATAGAGCAGAGGCCCATCTCGGTAGCGAATGCCCACTGCGGTGGGGGTGACATACTGCAGGATGTTAATAGTCCTCCGCAGCCTCCTGTCCACAAAGTGTGCATCCCAGGCCGGGTACCGCTTTCTTGGCATGTCAATCTTAATCAGGGGCCCTTCTGGGTAAGGACGCCCTGACGGGGTGGATGGCCCCATGGGTCTCACTTGGAATACGGGCAGGCAGGTATCAGCCGTGAGGTCCTCCTGCTGTTCCGTCACGGCTCTGGTGGGCGTGACCTGGGTCCCCCGGTACCCAGGGGTCTGAGGTGCCATAGGCTCAACATCGGGGGGCAAAGGGATGCCCCAGAGCAGCTCGGCACAACAGGAGCTGGCAAAGACCTTAGCCCGAGGCCCCATGGGATGCAACACGCCATAGTATAAGAGCATGAGCGCAATCCCAGCCACAAAGCTAACGAAGACACAACACAGTGCTGGCACGGCATAGGAGTCAGTACTCTCCGGGTTTCTGTAAAAATACCAAAGGAACGTCAAGGCAGCATTCTCGGTCAAGACTATCGTATAGTATGCGAACATTCGGTATCGAGTCCGCCCTTCCTTGACGTTAAACCAGCAGAAAATGTACACGATCCCTACCACCATGTTGAAGAGGATCTCCTCCCACTTGGACATGCAGAAGTCTGTCCCACCATGGATGATCCAGAAGGCCATGGCGCACCAATGCACCACCACGAAGATCCCGAAATACAGCTGGAAGATGGAAGCAAAGAGGGCGAAAGAGATAACTCGGGATGAGATGGTGAAGAGGCGCCAGAAGAGGTGGATGAGGGCCCCTCTGTAACTCATGCTCTTCTTGTCGTCCCTGGAGTCCCGCAGCAGCTTGTGATAGGAAGCTAGCACCCAAGCCAGGGACATCAGGGAAGTCACAGAGGAGACACCTGCCAAAAAGACACAAACCCACACAGTTAAAACCTCGGATAGCTACCGTAGGCCAGCAGGACTGCTGGCTGAGCAGACGCCCACACAAACCAGAATCTAAGAAAGAGGGAGAGACAGACACAAAATCAGTCACTGGACAGGAGTCCCAGCGGCTTCCTACACTGACAGCTGTTGGTGTCTGAAGTTGGTTTCAACAACCCCTTTTGCAATTTGAGAGCCTTGAGGCTCCGGAGTAGAGTGGAGATGCCCTGCTTGGCCTGGAGTTGGGAAATGGGGGCAACATCTACGTTAAGCTGGCCCACTCACTCACTCCATTAAGGGTCGTTGTTGCTTGTGGATGCACTGCCAGCACTGGCGTCCCTTTCCTCAGAAGTTTCGAGAACCTACAGAAGCCATCTCAGGTTTGTGGCGTCCCACTGACAACCGCCCTACCCCAAGCTCCTTTCACCTCATTCTTTCCTGTGAATGTGCTAGGTGGCTCACTCAAGGTCCCAAAGACCCTTTTCTGGACCTTCTTCCACTTGGTCTTTCCCTTAATCAGCTACCTGAAGTCATCCTGGAATGTCCTTCCCCCTCAGCTGGTCACCTGTGTCGCTCTCTTGACACAGTGCACTCTTGTTGTTTTCTCAGCAGCCCGTGCCCAAGTCCTCTGTGGTCTTCCCTTGCTAGGTTGTGTTCCTTCCTCTGGTCTCCCTCCCAAGTTAGCCACTACCTCCTGCTTTGGGAGTACTTCCCCTCACAGGTTTGGTGATGTGTTCCAGGCCTCTGTGGCTCATCCCCAGCAAATGCTCCAGCACTCAAAGATTCTGGGAACTTGGATATCTCTGACCCCTGGAAGCACTCAATTTTCTCTAAAGCAATTTTCTTTCTGACCTTGCTTAATTGATGCTTATGAACAAACCAGATGAAATAACAGTGATAGCTCCCGATTATGACCCAATCCACCCGTGAACAAGTAGTCATCCACATCATCCACCCAGCACTGTTGTACAATGCTCTCTCACACAGGATTCTCCACCATCCATGAGTTCCTCATGGGCAGTCTGAGTGAGCATCTAACAATCCTTTGTGTGGTCCTTCCTAAAATTAAGAACTAAGTGCACCTGGAGGCCCAGCTATCATCTCATTGGTGGTCTCCTTAAGAAACTGTCTCTTCTCACAAGCATGAACCTCCTTTTACTGTCTTGCAAGCCAAAATCAGTGCTACGGTACCCATTGGCATTTAGGTAAGATTCTGGCACTCAAGGGACTAAGAAAGATGGCTTCAAGGAGGAACCAAAGTCCTCTGCTTTCTTGTCCCAGAATTATGAGCTTGGTCATCTCACAAGTCTCCCTTCTTTCCTCTTCTCTTGGTCTCACATTGTAAAACAGTATGGCAGGAGCCATAGCAAACCCAGCATGTGGGCAACACACAGAGGACATTTAACATCTGAGTGTTTGGCTACCACCAGAAGCATGTGCTGCTGCTGTCATATCAACAAAAATATAAAACAAACAGGAGGAATGAGGCATGAACCCAACTTCTTCATGAAAACCAATAGAAAAACTATCTTGAGAGCAGTGATGGTGGATTTTCATCCAACTTCTCTGGAAAGTTCTATAATGCCTGATTGTCCTTCGCACAGGACATCTGGTCTGCATGCCCAGAGGCCACGCATGGTTTGTGGATCAAACATTCAGAGAAAGGCTGCATTCTGGCTGCTGTGTTGGAGTAGGAAGAGCAGGTCGTCATAGGAGTCATTCAACTTGGGTGTGGATTTCTGGAGAGCAGGGAACAGGAAGTCTCACCATTGTAGCGTGTATCAGACATAGTCCCTGGGACATGCTGAGGAAGTTCCTTTTCAAATATCCTTGTGACTCTACCACCACCTGACTAGCCTGCCTTTCTTTCCTTCCCTTTCTGTTACTCATCTTTTATTTTCTTCTTCCTTCCTTCATTTCTTCCTGCCTTCCTTCCTTTCTTCCTTCCTTCATCCTTCCTTCCTTGAATCAGGGTGTTTCTAATTAGCCTCGGCTGGTCTCAAACTCATCACTATAGCTTAGATTAGCCTGGGACTCCAGATCACCCTGCCTCAAGCTCCAGAGTTCTAATAACTGAACTTATTTCTTTTTGTTTATATGCATGCACAGATGTGTGTGTGTATGTACATGTATTCATCTCTCTCTGTGTGTATAAGTGTGCATAGACATGTGCAAAAGCATGTAGAGATCAGAGGTCAACTTCAGGTGACATTCCTTAGGAGATGGGCACTTTATGTTTTGAAACAGAGCCTCTCATTGGGACCTGGGGGTTACCAAGAAGGCTAGGCTGGCTGGCTAGTGACCTCCAGAGCTCCACTTGTCTCTACAGCAACATTGGGATCACAAGGCTTTTTATGAGGTGTTGAGGAGTAAATCGAAGTCCTTACGTTTGCATGGTAAACCCTTTATTGACTGAACCATCTTCCTAGTCCTTGAACTCTTTTTTTTTTTCTTTTCTTCTTTCTTACCTTTGTTTTTTATTTTATTTATTTGTTTTGGGTTTTGTTTTTTTTTTTTTTGAAACAGAGTTTCTCTGTGTAACAGCTCTGGCTGTCCTTGAACTTGTTTTGTATACTAGGCTGCCCTCAAACTCACAGAGATCCAACTGCCTGCACCTCCCAAGTTCTGGGATTAAAGTTGTGAGCCACCTTACCTGCCTTTGAAATCATTTCTTGATGTTAAATATTTAAGCACCTCGTGGTAATTGTCAAGATATGGGTGTCAAAAGAAGTTTTATGAAAGCTAAGTAGGAGGGAGGTTTGGTTTGGGTGTTCCTTTTAACATAATGAAAACTACCACTGCCCCTATTATTTTCCACTCAGAAAAGCCTGAGTGCTGAGCTCATAGAGAATGAAAATTTATCTTTTGCCAGAATGTGGCCCCAGTTTGGTTAATTCTAAGCATGACTCTGAATAGAGTTGGGATGCCAGAACAGTTTGGCCTTTGGCCTTCACAGTTCCAATTTTGCCATTCTGTGTGTGGCATTACCCCCACTCTGAGTATAAGGGTTTTCAGTGTGCACTGATCACCAGCAACATCCAAATTTCACAATCTATCTCCCTGTCTCCTGGTTATCTATTCCTCCACTGCCCTGTCTCTTAGTTATCCATGGTTCTGGGGCTTTGTTCCTGTCCCACCCTTTGTGGCACTGAAGTCACTGTCTCTGTGACCAGGCACAGCCTGATTCTTGGATGGGAACTCTGGGTTTTCACTACCGAGCATGGTGCAGCTGGCCTTTAGACATTGCACAGCATCATTGCTGACCTATAAAGCTTGGGGAACAGCCATGTGGGGATGGAGAAGCAGAGCTCACAGGGAGTGCTGAACGATGATGGGAAGCCCTTGGTCTCAACTCACAACCTCAACTATTTCTGACTTGGCAAAGTCAGGAATTGCTACATGGCTTATGGAAGGGAAGTTCCTCACGGATGCTTCGCAACCCCCTCACCCTCCAGCAAGCAGAGCTGCAGTTTAGAGCCTTGCCTGAGATTACCCTGAGGACCAGTGACCATGCAACATAGCATAGCTTCTCCTGCTACCTGGTGCTGCTTGCTGACTCTGTCTCTTCTCCATCTTGTCCTTCTGACAGCTGGTTTTTTTTAAGTTCTCAAGGTCATTTGTAATGAAGGTCATTGGCCTGCTTCAATGGCAGAACCTCTCCTACTTCCTAGCCTTTGGCTTCTTGAGGCCTAGAATGACCAGCTTTTTCTACGGGAGCACAAAGAGTCCTCCAGGTCAAAAAGCTAAACTGGGAGTGGGAATGGCAGGCAGGTTTGGGATATGAAGATGGCCTGAACCCATTCATAGCAGGGATTGTAGAGGAAGAAGAGTGGCCTGGAGATTTCCAAACCCTTACTCCCACCATTTTCTAGTTCACCACATTACTAAAAAAATTCCCAGCTCTACCCAATGCTCCAGCACCTCTCTCTCATCCAAAGTTGGTGGTAGCCAACGGCCTTAGTCCATCTCACAGAAGAGCTGAGAAAAGCCAGGCTCAGATCACTCCATGCAGGAAATAGGTTTCTCTTTGGAGGTTCACCAGGCAGTGACTTTTATCCTCAATGGGCTCAGGAGCCAATGGCACAGGTATTGGATAGACCTGTTTTCAACCCATGGTGCTCATCTAAACTCAGTTGCAACACTGTACATATTGTGGATTGATGGAGTAACTAACTGTTCATGGTTTGGCCAGGCCACACCTGCATAATTTCCTTGGATAAAGCTTGTGGCCTCTCCAACCCATGGAACTATTAGTTCATCTGATTGATGACAAGCCATTAGCTGAGGGCAGCCAGATGACGGAGGGGATACAGATGGGGATGACAAACCAGAACAGAAGATGTGCTTCAGAAGATGGGCTTCAGATGTGACATCAAAGTCCAAGTCAATGCCCAGTTGTCCAAGAGAACACAGGCGTGGCCTTCTGACCACCAACATCTAATTCACAATCTTATTAGGTGGACCCTGTGGAGGCTGCACTTGTCTTGGTCTGAACTGGGTCCTCCCTAGGTCCCTGTGTCTAGTTCCTAGGAATGTGGAGCTGGGTTTTTGTTGCTTCTCAGACAGAGCCTCACCTTCTCACTCAGATTGGCCCCAAACTCACAATCCTCCTACTTCAGCCTCTGGAGTGCTGGGATTCCAGGCATGTGCCACCACACACAGCTCAACTGAGATGGTTGTTTACGGAGCAGGTTAAAGCAAATGAGATGATATGGGTGTGTCAACTCCAGCACAGCTAGTATATATGCATAAGAAGATGAAAGGAGGGCAAAAGAGGAGACACTAGGGACACACAAGCACAGAGAAGGACCACACGAGGATGTGGCAAAGGTACCGCCTGTAATCTAGGAAGAGAGGCCTCAGGAGAAGCCATCCATTGACATCTTGATCCAGAATTCCAGTCTCTTAAACTGTGAGGAGATCGGTTTTTATATGGAAGCTTTTCAGCCTGTGGCACTCTGAGATACTAGAGTAGTTT